TTTCGGCATTTACTCATTAGTTAGCGTCATTAAACAGCGTGATAAAGGCAGTTCTTCCTCTTCCTCCATGCGTTTCAGAAACTGTCGGAAGCTAAGTGGGCTCACTGTCGCCAAGATAGGGCGGGATGAGGGGACGGACATCATGTGAGCAGTGCAGTGTACAGTTCTTCCTCACCCGCCACGCGTTTCAGAAACTGTCAGAAGCTAAGTGGGCTCACTGTCGCCAAGATAGGGCGGGATGACCGGACGGACATCATGTGAGCAGTGCAGTGTACAGTTCTTCCTCACCCGCCACGCGTTTCAGAAACTTTCAGAAGCTAAGTGGGCTCACTTTCGCCAAGGTAAGGCGGGATGAGGGGACGGACATCATGTGAGCAGTGCAGTGTACAGTTCTTCCACTCCCGCCACGCGTTTCAGAAACTGTCAGAAGCTAAGTGGGCTCACTGTCGCCAAGATAGGGCGGGATGAGGGGACGGACATCATGTGAGCAGTGCAGTTAAGAGTTCAGTGCAGGCCAGCAATGTCAGATTCATTCACTGTTTGGTTTCGAAAGTGAAGTATGCGAGCAACAGCACCATCTTATTTTAATCTTCTTAAATCCTACTTAATTGACCGGAAAGAAAAATCTGAACCACAAGCGATAAAAGCAGGCGTGCCACAGGGCAGTGTCCTTGGTCCAACTTTATACATTTTATTTGCCTCTGACCTACCCACTTCCTCAAATATGACTCTTGGAACATTTGCCGAGGATATAGCAATATTGTCAGTTGACAAAGGCCCAGGAAGAGCAGCAGAATACCTTCAACATCACCTTAGATCATTAAAAAATTGGTTCGAGAAGTGGCGTATCAGAATAAACGAAAGCAAGACTTGCTACATAACTTTCACCCTACGAAAAAAAGCCGACACCTGACATATACATCAATGATATCCAAATACCACGCAAAACAGAAATAAAATACCTAGGTATGACTATAGACAGCAAATTAACATGGAAGGAGCATGTAGTCAAGAAACGAAAGCAGGTAGGCTTAACCATCAAAAAGTTAAACTGGCTAACAGGCAAAAAATCAAAGCTAGCAGTCGAAAATAAAATTCTGATCTCTAAGACTATTATCATACCTATTTGGACGTACGGCCTGGAATTATTGGGCTGCGCCAGCAAATCTAATACAGCAACAATCCAAAGAAGCCAACAAGTCATGTAAACAACCATAACATTAGCTTGTAGAATGTATATTCTGATTGCTGATTAAACAAATAAAAAAACTGGAAAATATGTTATAAATGGCGGTCGTCAGTATTAAGCAGTGTGGAATCTGTGTTACATTTAATATTTCATCCGACAAAATAGAACACGTCATCATATTGTTGAGACATACAGAGGAATTCCTTTATGGCAGAAGGCTTGTAAGACAGCGAACTGTGTTTTCTACTTGGACTGATCTCGAAAGTTCGACGTCAATGCCTAGAGTGGGGATTGTAGTATAAGCATGCAAGGTTTAAGATTATAAGCCTCACTACGTATATTTAAGAAGACACCACAACATTCCACGTAACTAAATCATTACATAAAAGTGCAAGTTACTTATTTGAAGCATGAATTGCACTGAAGCTTTGTATGACGCCGTGTAGTCCGGTGAAATCAGTCATTTCGGAAGAACATGTAGTCTCCATGTTCCAAGTCAAAGAGAAAGCTTGTCAGGAAACAAGCTGCTTGTTGTTGCTTAATGGTGATTTCTTGCTTTGCTTTTCGACCTTGAAGGTGTAGGCGCTATGTTCTTCCGAAATGTTGATTGACTTTCATCAGACTGCACTGCGATATATAACAGAACACAGAACTGTTCATAACTACTTCTGTTAAAACCTCAGTTCCTTCATGCTACCCCTTTCCCAATTCAGCTACGAGCGTTAAACGGAACATCAGCTCATGTCAGCTGAGATTGATGGGGGACATTTACCTTCAAAGTTTGCGTGCGGAGACGATATTACAAGCTTCTAGTGCGGGGCAATAAAGTTAAGCTACCTGAATGTAATTCCAGAGTGGCGTTCTAATTCGGTCTTGTGTAGGAATAAATGCCTTAAAATACCCCACTGAATCCAGGGCCTAATGCAAATTTAAGTGTTGTCAAACGGGACATAGAACGGGGCACTTCCGCTTCTACAAGAGTTGCACAGAGAATATCACATATGTAGAAAGTCAATATTTGCACTGCTGTCAGTGTTATCTCCAGCTACGCAGCTGTCAGTACTGCGCAATGACCTCAACCAAATCAAATTATTTTGTTTGTCGACGAAAATTACTTAGAGAAAGAGAAAGCTGGTAGGCAGTCAAAGTACAATCCCTCCAATTTATAATGATGTGACAGATGATATATGCATTATCATACTGTACATAGAATATACATTGAAATAAATGGCATACAATAAACGAGTACGTAATCCGGTTTATAATGATGAGCTTAGAACGTAATCGAAATACTACAATGTAAACAGAATGGATGCACTAACTCTTATAATTGATTGTTCAGGAAATCTAATGAACGATGCATAATACTTCTGTCCCGACTAATCCATAGGGTTCATGTCTCACAGGATTCGCTGCAACGTCATTTCATTGCATACATCAATATTTGCAAAATACAAAAGGGCTGATCGGCAATTGTTTGCTACTTCGTAACCTGCATTTGTTATTGCATTTAACAGTTTGGCCTGAGCACTGGAAGAAACACTCTGAACATCATTTTGCACAATACCCACAAAAATTACTTTCCTCTTAAATTACTACAATCGATAATCCAATACAGAAAGAGTTTGGACCTACGAAGAGAAGAATTGAGGTTGCATGTATGAATGTACAAGGGGTGGGCCTTCTTGGCCTTTGCACCGCGACCACAATGTTTTATTGTGCCTCAGAGAATTAAGGTTACAGAAAGAGAAATGTTTCAAATAAATTCTTTATGTAGTACTCTCAGGGAAAATAAATGAAACGCGGTGAAACAAGCGTAGTAGGTTTAGATCGTGCAAAACTATGCTGAGTATCGCATGGGACAAGAACACCTGGAAAACCTAGGAGTAGATGGTAGCGCACTATTACACTTGAACTTAGACAATATGAGTAGTTTGTTAAGAAGAGACTGAACTAGATCAGTAACATTTTACAAATGGAAGCCATATGGTGACAACGAAGAAGCCTAGAGTTCAGGGAAAACATGACGTGCTGAAGAAATGTGCCTTCATGTCAGACTGGCCAGTCAGTGCGATATTTGGAAGCCTGTGCCGTGATAATTCTGCCTTGCTGCACATTCAGTAATATAGGGTGTTTCACGACTTTAGGGCATAACTGCAGGAGGTGATTTTCTAGGTCTTTGTGATGAAAAAAGTCATATAAACATGTGTTTGATTTTGGACGGTTACGGAGTTAGACTGTTTTTTCTTTCCCGTACACGCCTTCGTGTGAACCGCGTCTGTCAGCTGGCGGTTCGCTATTCTTAGCCAGCTACAGACAGAGCGTTCTCGTTATCTCGACACTTGAGAGGTACCTAAGGCGGGGTGGTTTGGTATGTACCCGCGCGGTTCACAACCGAGCGGCAGCCTGGGTTGCGACCGGCGGTTGCATTTTCGAAAATCAGCTTTAAGCACCAATACATTCAAAATAAAGGTAATTTCACGAAGTTAACTTTACAGTCATACTTTAAATGTATCATGTATTATGCTGGTTTATTATTTTGTTCCGTTTATTGTCAGTAATCGTTACCTTCTATTCTGAGTTTAAAACGGTCATAACTCCGTAATCATCCAAAATCGGACATATATTTATATGAACTTTTTGATCACAAAGACCTAGGAAATCACCTCCTGCAGTTATGCCCTAAAGTCGTGAAACATCCTGTATATTGATATTCTGGAGCCTCGTGCAAATCGTTGAACTGCTCGAGCGGAGGAGTTGGCCGCTTCTCAGACAAAATGAACCCTTGAAATTCCTGACTGCTAGCGGAATTGACAAACCTGTGGCCTAAGTGAATGTTACCTGCAATACTTAGGCGCAGGAAGTGAGAACATAGAAGTTTTCAAGGTCGGTACTGGACATAAAATTAATCGAAGCGCCGGTGATAATTGAAGACAAATTGGACTAAACGAATGTCATGCTTGAATGATCTGGTCCGTAATCCGTCTGACTCCCGGAAGAGGAGACCTGGTTTTAAGTTTCAAGTTCATTCTCTTTCCCAAGAATAAGTTCAACTGGCGACTATAATAATAATAAAGTTCAACATCCTGTTGCATTGATGTGCCTTTTCTAGTCGTTTCCGTCTATAATGCAACAAAGTAATAGCATTAATTCACATTTAATTCAGATAATGATTGTCAAACGTATAAAATGTTATTAAAATTATTAATATATATATATATGTTATGTTACTACATGTTTCGGGCTTACAAGGCCATCTTCAGGCAACAAATTTAAGGATTCCAATTCGCTCTACGCTAATCATATATAGCATTCTTAAGATATGCCGCTGATGTTCCTTCATATCTTTTTTATATTTTTGAATTGTGTCTGTTTCTGTGTCATATAAGGTGTTGTTTTTCGTTGTGGGTATTAGGCGTTGCCTTGCGTCTGTTGTATTGATTCGAAACTGAAAGCCTATTAGGGAGGGGCTAGCAATACGTGGGTAAAAATGCACAGCCTGTCACAATTCTCTATTCTGAGCCGGATGAATCCAGATCACTTATTTATTTCTTTAAGATCTATGTTAATGTTGATTTTTGCATCAAGTGAGTTAAGTAATTCCAGTACTTAATGCCGTCACATTGAACAGCATTTCAGGTATGGAAGTCCCATTCATAGACCGTCGCTGTGTAGAAAAACGCTTTAATTAAAGCTGTTACCTCATGCAGAGTCATTAAAGAATATTCTAGTTTCGAAAGCCCACACCAATTTGCAAAAACGCCTTAAATTAAAAAGTTGCCTTATACAGAGTCATTAAACAACGTTTCAGATACGGCAGTCCTCACCACAGCCGTTCGCAGTCTGTAAAAACACCAGGCAGCCGCTCCAACAGCGGGCGACCCAACTTCTTATGTCTGCCACAGCAGAGGTCGCGAGTTGCTAGCATGCCCAACACGGGCGTGGAAGAGGAGTACTACCGACTCAGACACTTCAGTATCACTGGAAAGGGAGTCGTGAACCGCGGGGATTCCCTCAAGAGCAGACGTTCCAGGAGCAACAACAGCGTCACTTCCAGTAACTCCAGCCACAGGTGAGTGTCCGCACATGCAGGTTCACGTCATAATCTATTTGAAAACAGGGAATATTGTATGCAAAGTGTTAGCCCAAATCTGCGGAAAAATCACCTTATCCAGCTTCTGATTTTAAAGGTGTTCTGCACAGAGAGTGTGTTTTGGGGGTTCGTCTGTCGTCCGATCACACCGAGAAAATTATTCACCTTATCAGAAAATAATAATTGCCTACATAATGCAGTGAAAATGTACACTCATAATTTGTTGGTTTCCACGAAAATATTCGCACCCCAGGAATGTGGCCCTCGCGCATAAGATGATTTCACTTCCTGTACATAGTTCTGTAGGGGCGGGGTGTTCTTTCGTACAAAGAAACAAGAGGACCCTCTCTTAACAAAACATTACATCATGCCCTTCTAGTGGTCGTTGAAATAAGCACAAATGCTTTAAATGGGTATAATTTAGGACGTTGGGTTATTTAAACTACATAAATTACCTAACGTCGAATGGGATCTTACGCATCAATCTGTAAAGGATTTGACGGATACTACAAGATACTGTGTATGTATTTGCATGGGTATATTTAAGGAAACCTTGATGGAGTTCAATCAGTGTAGCTTTTTCTTTTTGTTTCTTTGGGTGAGGTCAGACTGAGTCCACTTTGTACTTCGGACACAAATTGGCATATTATAACAGCCCCGGATGATACATGATGATGACTGTGATTGCGGAACAGTCAGTGGAAACGGAAACATTCGGAGAAAACCTACCCCAGCGCCACTTAGTCCACCACAAATCCCACATGACCTGGGCTCGAATCTGGGCCGCCGCTTTGGGAAGCCGGCGCCTAACCGTCTGAAGTCAGTCCAATCAGTGTAACTAGTGCTTCACCCGAGGATGGACTCGGATGCTCCTCACAACTGTTGTCCCGGTATCTGACCTGATTTACATGGATAAAGGCAGTTTATGCAATATGCCCCAGAAATTTTCCGCTAAAATAACTTGGGAATTAAAATATGGTGAATTAACATGTAAACTGCAAGGACCTCGAAGTCCTTAGGTAATCCAGAGCGTGGCATGAAATGCGCAGGAATGTTCCCCTGTCCACCCAAAGCCTCTCAGTCACAGGGGAAACAAGCTCTCGGGTGTAAAACCCTCTAGACCTACACTGAGCCATAACATCCATGCACTATCATATATGAGTTCTTTACAGCCGCTTGGGATGCCAGCCCAGTCCATCTCGCCGCCCGCAGTTCCAACACAGCAATCTTATTCGAAATTCCTCTTTACATCATCCGCATGCCTTCTCCCACAAGCGTGTCACAGTTTGTTTTCCGTCTACTGCCAGCGAGAGCATAGCGCAGTATAATTTGATTATCACTGGTTAATTCTCATAATATTAAATTACAGCATCCTGTTCCATTGCGTAGATCAGTCTTTGCGCTCCGCGTTTCTCCGTCTGTGTGCAACGTCTGTTAATGTTCTCTCGTCGTTTTCTTGTTATTGTCACTACAAGTTTCGGCCTGGCTGACCGTCATCAGGTGCTCAGGTTGTTGTGATGAAGGAACCTACTGGTCACAGTAATGCTGTCCTGCTTCCTTATGTAGTTGCCTCGGACTCCATGCTATGTGGACAAACCAGCTGCGTCAGCAAAGAGAAAACGACAGAATATTCACCGCCGTTGCACATAGACCGAAAAAAGCGGAGCGCAAATTCAGATTCGTTAATTTAGTTTTTGTTGCGCTATGGCACTTTGAAATCATGCATGTTATTATGAGATGATGATGATAATAAGTAAAAAAAAAAGCGTAGCTATCCCTGTACCAGGCCGTGAAGGCCCGTAGGGTTGTGAGACGTTGAGGGCCCCACATTATCTAGACAATCAGCTCACAGATGGCGGTAAGGCTGTCAGCCTTATGCGCCGGCCGCGCTTTACTCCCCAGGAAAATGATTTAATTAATTCCTGGTACTCATTTCTGTTAGAGGCTGAGTCAATCCCAAGGCCTAGTGCGGGCGGAAGGATTAGGTGAATTGAAAAAATCCAATGACCTCATCGGTATTTGAACCCGCGACCTTCCGTCTTGTAGCATAGTGCCTTAACCACTACGCGTGCCCCCAATAATAATTATAGTAATAATAATATACCGTCACACAAAAGAACTGGTTCTAATACTTATACCTAATTCATGTTATATGTTTATATTCAACTGAAACGTCATATGGACGATCATTACATAAAATTGTAACAGCTGGCTTTGACTAATTAAATAGATATCAGCCAGACTTTTTTAAGACTTTTGCTGTTGGATTTATCACTAGTGACTAAAGTATAATATTGTCACGTGTATTAGTGACTTTTAGACAGTGTTTGGATTAGTGAACAGATTTATTGGATGCTCACAAAACGTAACTACAAATAATTATAACACTCTGAAGATTACTGTTAACTATAAAACAGAAAATAATTCTTCAACGTCTGCTTGCTTAGCCGTGACTTCAACTATTGAGTCCTCGAACGATGGTCCTTGAAGAGTTTCTAGTCTCTCGAATTTTCTTATGCATGTCTGAATCTCGTACTGAACTCACTACTTGCGGGCCGAATGCAGGTCACCAAGCAGAACTGTTGATTGTTCTCTGTTATTCTCTGTTGCCATGAAAACGTGTGACAATCTCCGGGCAACTCCTCGATTCATAT